CATGCTCGAATTTCCCGCGAAAACCTACCCGTACCACTCAAATTAGACAACATTATTAGAAACTGACCGTTGTGAATCAGGCTAAAGTAAGGTGATAGTTTTGAAAACTGGCTGGTTATGTACTTGCTCAAATATTGATTTCGGATCATTTTTAACCAAAACAAGTTACGGACTGCAGCTTTAATGATTATTAAATGTATAAATGTAACAATATTATTAAAATAAATATATTATTAAATTTATAAATGCATTGTTTTATATTTGATAATTTTTTTAAAAACATTAAATATTACAACTTTTTTTTTTAATTTAGGATGCACTGATAAGGAAAATGAGGAGCAAAGTTGAATCTGCATCATTTGTGTCGCCTCAAATCATCAACTCACTTCAGGTTGCTTCAAATCGCTGTTACTTAAGAGTACAATTTGAAATGTCATAGAGGACAATGTCTTGTACTCTGCAAAATCCCGCTCTGTCTCTTCAAAGAGTCATTTATCCCTAGATGGATTTAACCCTGCCCGCCTTGACCCTGACTCACAAAGGGCATCAGGCCAACCAGCAACAGTTCACGTTTGATTGGTGAACTCTGACCTTTGCATGGCCCTCGTATGACCTCCAGCTGAGGGTCACGGCACTTTGCACGGAGAAACTCGCAGCGGGAACTGAAGGTCCGTCCGTCTGATGCGCACAGCTGCTTGCGAGGAGTTTTGGAACAATCCGTATTGCATTCTTTATCTTGCTCCACACGCAGAAACTGTGAAGATGGACAGGAAGAGATGTTAGCATGTTGCAATGTGATACTCTAGGCAGCATAAAAAATATTCATCACACAAATATTGAGTAAAATAATAAATTTTAAGTACATTTTTTATATTTAAAATTACATTTCAAGCAAACATCACCTCACCGACAAATTCAAGAGTGGACAGGAAATCGACTTGCTTTGTGTCAAGACATTATCTGAACAGGTGCGTTTGTAATGTTCAGATGAGTTATAATCGGCCAAACTGGCAAATGCAAAAAATTACTTGAAAAGATACTGACACATACAGACTCACCTGCAGCCAATAAATCAGCCACGGGAAAACAGCAAATGAAAGTAGTGTTGAAAGAAAACAGATTCTTCATATAAAGCTGATGGGTAGGATCATTACCCACTCAAAAATTAGCACTGGCTGACATTCTACAAATGACTTTCTGTGTGCGTGTGTGTGTTTGTGTGTCTGAGGGAGATCTGCACCTGGAAGATGGTTTCAGAGGGGGTTTGAGGATCAACCCTTGCCCCTGGCGATGGGAGACAGCTCTGCTCTCATCTCTGATCGTAAATCTAGAGTTGATGAGTGCTGGGGAAGTGTGTGTGTGTGTCTGTCTGTGTGTGTGTGTGTGTGATGAATGTGTAGCTGGTTCAGTCATAGTGGAAGAGGGGTTGTGAGTGTACAGAGATTGAACTAACCTTTTTTTCTTGCTTTTTGTTATTGAGTTATTGGTCATTTAATCCTTCTCTTCTGAAATCCCCAGTGTGAGTGTTATTGCTGAGAAATTGCTCACTCATAGCTTAGGAGACTAAATGGAGACCTTAGTGATGTTTTGTTAAGGTATGACCTTTGTCTCAGATGTTTCTTGTAAAATTCCTTAAGAGGAATAACAAAATAACCACAAATGAGTCCATTGTTGACATGCAGTGAGAGTATAGAGCTGTGGATATAGCAGCTCAGGTCTTTTGAGATTATATTTTAAATATTATACTTTTTTATTATAATACTATATATATATATATATATATATATATATATATATATATGTTTGTTTGTTTTTTTGTGAATTGTGGGGACATTCCATAGGCGTAATGGTTTTTATACTGTACAAACTATATGTGCTATTGCCCTACACCAACCCTACCCCTTACAGGAAACTTGTTACTT